ATGGCACTCTACCGAAGGCGATAAAATGAGACTGTCTCTTAAAAAAAAAAAAAAGAAGAAGAGGAAAAAGTGTTATTTCAAATGGGAGTTAGCAAAGGCCTCAACTGGATCATTAATAGCAGATAAAATTAAGAATCCTAAGGAAAAATTACAGACTCATCCCCAGTGGATAAGATGAAATTTAACTATTTGAAAAAAGGAAACCAGGGTAGTGCCCATGGCTCAGTGGGCAGGGCACCAGCCCCATATACTGAGGGTGACGGGTTCAAACCGGCCAAACTGCTACAAAAAATAGCCCTGGTGTTGTGGCGGGCGCCTGTGGTCCCAGCTACTTAGGAGGTTGAGGGAAGAGAATCACCTAAACCCAGGAGTTGGAGGTTGCTGTGACACCACAGCACTCTACTGAGGGCAATAAAGTGAGACTCTGTCTCTAAAAAAAAAAGAAAGAAATCGTATTTACTTTTACCCACTTTATTCAAAATAATTTAATTTTCCTGACAGGTTTTGCTTTAAATAATTCTTACCTTGCTTTCTCTTTCTAATTCACTTCTCAGCCATTCAAAGTCACTGTATCTTCTTCTCACAGTAGATTCCTTCAGCTTGAAAATAGGAAGATTTGTCTGAAACAAGAAAAGTTAATCCTAAATTGAAGCGTGTTAAGACTTCAAAAAAAAAAAGTGTATGGGGGAGGGGAGAATCTAGGTCTGTCAAATTGATAAAGTGGCAAGTCTGGTTACCTTAACCTAAGAAATCATGAAGGTGGCATTTTACTTACGTATAACAAAATGAAACTTTGCTACTTGTTACATTATTTACAATAGGATACAACATTTTTTTTTTCTTTCTTAGAGTCTCTCTAGTTCACAACAACCTAAAACTCCTGGGTTCAGATCCTTCTGCCTCAGCCTCCCATGGAGTTAGGACTACCGGTACCCGTCACAACACCCAGCTAATTTTCCTGTTTTTAGTAGAGACAGGGTCTCACTCTTACTCAGGTTGGTCTTCAAACAATCCTCCTGCTCAGCCTCCCAGAATGCTGGCATACGTACCTTTGTGGGACAGAGCCTGTGGCTCAAAGGAGTAGGGTGCTGGCCCCATATGCCAGAGGGTGGTGGGTTCAAACCCAGCCCTGGCTGAAAACTGTAAAATCTACCTTTGTGTGTATGCTTTTAAATGTTATTCTGCCTGAGGTTATTTACATAAACATAGGTCATTTTTTCCCTATTATTTTAGTGAGCCATAAAAATGTAAAGTGGTGGGTGGCGCCTGTGGCTCAAGGAGTAGAGCGCCAACCCCATATACTGGGGGTGGCCGGTTCAAGCCTGACCCTGGCCAAAACTGCAAAAAAAATAAAATAAAATAAAAGGTTAAGTGGGCTGGAATGAGA